GGTACCCCGTGTCATCTTACCTGCGGTACGTGTCTGTACCGCACACTTTGAATGGCTGCAACTGTACAATACTCCTGATACTGCCTACAATCTAAAACACTTTCTCATTATGGGAGAAAGAAATCTAGAAAGGTTTCAGAAGAAATCTTTTTACAGATCTTTTGAATAACATGTTTTCCAACCCTGTCCAGACATCTTGTATAGAAGACAGATTGGCCTACCGACTCTGCACAAGAAACTGAAGATGTGCCCCCTAAATTGATCTTCTCTGCTTGCTTATATGGTCAGTTTCCAGCACATTTAATATGAATGTGACAGCATATCAACTACTTTATATTAAAACTGTCAACTATTGTCATCTATCTACATTTTTAATTTTAATATATCTTTAAGATAAGAAGGGCAGAGGGGTATGTTCAAGACAGCAGCCATATCACCCTGCAACTCACAACTGGCAACCCACTGAAGTTAAGCACATGTGAGTCTGGTCAGTACCTGGATGTGAGACCTGGGAAAAACTGCTGGAAGAGGTGTTAGTGGACCAGTAGGGGATGCGGTCTGCGGGCCATGTGGGTCCTAATGCCCCAGTAGAGTAATGGGGATGCTATACTGCAAACAGGCACTGTCCTTTGGATGAGATGTAAAACAGAGGTCCTGACTCTCTGTGGTCATTAAAAATCCCAGGGTGTTACTCTCCAAAAATAACCCCGGTGTCCTGGCCAAATTTCTCATTGGCCCTTACCAATCATGGCCTCCTAATAATCCCCATCTATGAATTTGGCTTCATTACACTGCTCTCCTCCCCACTGATAGCTGATGTGTGGTGAGTGTTTTGGCGCACTATGGCTGCTGTCGCATCATCTAGTTTGAACTTTGTAGGTGTTTGTCTCTTCAAGCACATATGTTTTTTTATATTACTTTAATTGTTTTTTTAAATCATATTAACTTACCCTTTTTCTATGGTAGTAACAGCCTTATTTCAATTGCCACATTGTGCCTCTTCTCATTGTTAATCACCATGGTAATTAATTCAATATATAATTAAGGAGCTCATTGTGCTTAACAGTATCTTTCCAACACTGTTAATAAACCTGACCTTACCCATCTCCTGAAAAGTTCACGACTCAATGCCCATTCTAAGCTTGTCTGCACCCTCTAATTATATTGCTGGATTTATTTTTTTAAATTTGAGTGCTAATATGAGGCCAGAATTTAATTGCAGACAATAGTTTCGGGCATTACCCTTTAGCTACACACAGGGGCATTAGAGATGAAAGTGAACAAGTGCTTTGTAACGCATCCTGAGTGAGTTAGTTTTTTAGTCGGCCATTTTCTAACAGCTTTATCCAACGCAGCATCATGGGGAAGCCAAAGACTATTCTGACAAGCAACAGCTGCAGGGCGGGATACACTCTGGATGGCACACCAGTCGATCACGGGGCACACACAGACACAGACACACACACTCACACCAGGACCGATTTTACCGCACTGCCAGGCATCGGTGCTAACCACTGCGTCACTTTGCTAAAATCAATTCGGTTCTTAAGCTGATTCAAGCTTTGAGCAAGAAGAAGAAAATTATGCACTAGTGGGCACTGATGGTAATACTGTAATACTGCCTGTGACAGCTCTAAAAATGGTTGGCTGCTTAGTCTTTTTTACTGCATCATTAGTGACACTACAGTCGTTTGATAGGAGTTAGTACAGCTTGAAAGCACTGCAGTACATGATTAGAATCAAATTTGATAATTGCCCGCAGTGAAATATTTTCTATAGTGGCAGGCAAAGAGCCCAGTGTAGGAAGCAGTGGGGTTACATTAGAAAAAAAGTGCTTTGTCTGGTTTGTCTGAAGAGTAAATTTATTTATAGTTAAGTTTATTGGCAGGATAAAACCCCTTAAGAGCATCATCTCATTTTAAATTATTAAAATGTTTCTTTGACATCTTTTTCAGCAATATTTTTATTAAATGTTAGAATTATACAATATACAGCACATAGGATTGTTTATGTTAAAATAAAGTAGCATTGTTACAGTTCTTATTCTAAGAAACAGAATTTCAACCGCATAGCACAATATAGATAATTTTACAGGTGCAGTCTATTAAATAAATTGACATCTAGTTTTTGAAATGTCAAGAAGTTAAAACTGATATGATCTCTACGGTAGATATTGAAAATTTACTAACAGATAGAATAAAAATAGTCCAGAATTCTTTCTGTGCTGTTGAATAAACAGGATTGTATATGAGAAAGACAGCAAAACATCAATCAATGCTTCTGCCATGGGCAGGTACAGTAGATGATAAGGCGAGGAACATCCCCAGAAAGACAACCTGTAGCATCAAGTCAAATCAAACATGTGACCTCAGACAAACATAAAGCAAACAGACAGGTCCCAAAACTGGAACCAATCTTTGAAAATAAATGAAGGTAATATGACTTGTCTCCTCTGTTACTTATGGTCTTGTTTTTACCAGTGTAATTCAAAGAAATGTATGTGATGCTCTCTTTAAATATAGCTTAGCAAACATTACTGTGAAAATGTCACCATATTACATCACAATTGAGACCTCTTGTGATGTCATCAGAACCCCTGACATCAAGGTTCTAATCTTTCAAAAGCACAAACCAAGTGGGTAACAGGGCATTAAATGTTTGGCTTTTGCAGAGAGAAGAAGCAAGGAATGAAGACTATATTGGCAGCTTTTGGACTCCTTGTATGGGGAGAGCAGTTTGCTAATGAAAAGAGGGCCCCAATCTCTGCAGAGCTCTGCTTGGTGCCCACTGAGGCTGAACTGCTGACCAGACATGAGGAGGAGCTGTGGAGGCTGGGGATAACCAGACAGTAAACTGCCCAGCTCCCTGAGGACAAATTGGTAGGCAACAGGATACACCCCTTTTCTTTATAAACATGAAAACTACTGGAGTGTGCCTTGAGCTCTATATTTAATATAAACCCAACATACAGTAAGAGTGATTGGCTGGTTATGTGATTTTGACTTCAAGTTTGTATACTGTAAATTTTGTATTGTCAAGTTTGTATCCTGACCTGTTTTACTTATTTGTCATTGTGACCGACAAGCCATAAGCAATTCACGAGGAACGACAATGCCCAAAATCAAAGCGTAATGAACTATTGTGGAGTGAATATTTGGCTGAACCTGCTTGGCTGAGGGCCGACCTCCTGGCCATAGGATGAGGAGGCCAGGACGCCCCCGCAAGGTAACCAAGGGTTAGCTGCAGAGGTGGAGGTGGAGTTGGGGGTGGAGGTGGGATGCAAAAGTCGCATGCGAGGGAGAGAGATATCGCATTTGGTATTTATAGTGTTCGGTGGGGGAAGGATGAAGGGAGTGATTGCTAATCGCTGACGTCTGGGAATGATTAAGTGTGGTTGTTGTCATCCTTCCCAAACTTTAGTTAAATAAACTCCATAAGGTAATTGCAGTCACTCCATTTCTCATCTGGGGTTGATCTTCTTGCAATAACCACTACAATAAAATGTAGTGGTTATTACAATATGTTATTTAACCCCCATGCATACATACAAATATATACAGTATTTTATTTCTTTTTGATAAGTTCAACTTTTGTTTGATATTTCTATCAGCACAACAGGTTCCACTTGATCTCTGACTCCGCAGTTTCTCTCCAGATGATCAGGACCCTGGACCCCTTGTCCACAGAGACAGTGAGGGCAGGCTGCCGTCTGTGTGTGGAGCACAGTGGGCTCCTTCACCTTCTGTGCTTTGTCCTGGTCTGGATCAAGAGGCGTCTCACACAGAAACAGGTTAGAGTCTGTATGGTCAGACTGTGGTAAAAATGCTTTATCCACTGGGAAAAGAAAACTACAGTACAGTAGGAGGCTAAGAACTGTCACTGCTAATACAGCCAACACAGTTATTTATATTACCAAATCTGAGTACAGCACTACCATGCCGAAAGCAATAAGTGTTTAATATTTGAGTAGAGGTTTTGAATATGACTGTCTGATTAAAGCAAATATTGTTAAACAATAATGTTGTTCTCTTCAGTAAATATCAGCATGTGGCTGGTTAAGTTGATTAAGACTTCGTCCATCATCAAAGTTCCTCAGTCACTGCAGAAACTGGTCTGAAATTTTACCATTCAAGGTTATTAAACTGGCATATCAAATTGTATGGAACAGCAATATGGATGCATTTAATCACATTTAAAAGATTTTGTCTCTCCTAAACATAATGGTTATAAATATTGTAATTTCGTAGTTTAATGAGAAGACGTGAGAAAGATAAGGCATTCTGTCGATCATATATTTTGGTTGCTTGTAGTTTAATGATCACATTATTTAATCAAACTGTTTCTTAAAGGATGTCATTGGACCAATTACAAGAATGTAGCAGAGAACATGTAGAATTCACTGTGTTAAGAAGTGCCTCTTATCCTGAATATTCCAAAGCTACATTTATATTGTGATTGCTTTTCCACCTATTATAATATATCCTGGGCTGTAATATTCTCTTCTCAGGGCTGGGCTCTAGGAGCTGCAGTGATGCCCTGCCATGACTGTTTCCAGAACGATGACAAACAGAGAGACACCAAAAACACAATCAAACAGCAGAGCCCTGTCCCTTACACTGATCTCACAGAGCACACCAAGAAGAGGAAGAGGAAGAGGAGAGGCAAGGCATCTTCATAGCTTCACACTGTGGATAACTGCAGTACCCAGAAGTGAACACTAGGAGGTGCAGCATAAGATCTTAAACTTAAAAGTTTAACTCTGCTTCTTAGTTTCTTTATTCTTATAAAGAAATATTTCACTTTTAGGAAAATATTTGTTACTTTGATAAATCCCTTTCTTTGTTTTGTTTTAATGTTACTGTATAACTACAGTACCTGTATGAAATATACTAGGTCCTGGATACTGTGTCTTAATAATGACTTTGCTCTACCTAAATTGTTTATTCCTCTATTTTTAAGCCATCTGCAAATTTGACACAGTTAGCAATTGCCACACTGTACTAACTATCAGAACACATTATGGGGTAATCACAGCTACCAGTGTAACTTCAACTTCAATTGCCAATTAATCAATTGCAATGCCAAAGTGATCTGGAACAATATCAGTCCCACTGATAAAGTGAGGCTCCTGCTACTGCTATCAAGCAGTGTCAGGTTTATCGGGGGAACTATACACAGTTTCGGTTCATATGCCACACTATCAGGGAGGGGGATCTTTCACAGGTTACTACATCTACTGATTTACATACATTACATTCCTTCTTAGGTCATACTTTTATGAATATGTAGTTCAAGTGGGTAGCTGCGTCAGCATGCATTGGCTGCAAAGGTACAAATAATAGGTTTATTAGGTGCTCACACCTAAAGAAGGCTCCATGGCCAAAACGTTGTTTTCTTTCTTCTTTTTCAGCATGGAATAAACCTATTACTTGTTCCTTTTATGAATATGTCAAGTTCATACCTAAATATGCTTCCATCATGGATCCCTTGAGAGCACTATTTTGTTAAACTTAATGCCTTACCCATTCAAAAGCTAATCTACAAAGTAAAACAGTTGATTGTGAATGGTCCAACTCTAATACTGTTTGATCCTGCATTATGCACTATTGTTACAACCAATGCTTTGGACTATCTACAATAGGTGCCGTTTTTATTCAATATTATCCAGATGAAAGACAGAACCATTACAATACATTTGCAATGCAGAACACTTGCCAAAGTAGAATTAAAAGTATTTCACTATGCAGGAAAAAAGCTCCTGCATGTCTGGAGAAAAATGTAGAGCTTACCTGTGGGGATGAGAGTTTACTTTGCAAACAGACTGTAGCCTGTTGAGCACACTTTTTATAACTAAGGTTAGGAAGAGGGGGGATATGCATTGCCAAATGGTCAGCTTGGTTACAGTCTTTCAATTACACAATTCAATACAAACCAACCAAGTTCAGAAAGCTTTGCAACCAACTGTTTATTTCCTTTACCATTACCTACTGTATTGAACTGCAGATTGCATGCCTGAAGATAACACAGCAGTAGTTTCATTTACAGTACAAATGCCCTTCCAACTACTATTACAGCAGAAGTACTGTCTTACAGTATGTATCTAGGACATATCCAACTGTGTGAAAAAGGAAGTGAATCCAAACCTTTGAGCCTACTTCAGAATATTTGTATTTGCAAGGCAGTCTTTCATCAATTTCCCTACGGGATTAATAAAGTATTATCTATCTATCTCTTGAATATGATCAGTCATCAAAGAATTGTAGAAACAAAACAAAGACTACAAGATTTATACCGGTGGGCTGGACAAGTATAAGATGCCATTCACTCTTGTTAAATGTATCGATTGCATGACAACACCTTGTCCTGATTGTTCAAGGGACAAACTTGCATATTGTAAAATGTGGCATTGTGG